CATCTGCCCTACCCGCACTTATATCTGCCCTACCCGCACTAACATCTGCCATACCTACACTAACATCTGCCCTACCCACCCTTATATATGCCCTACCCACACTAACATCTGCCCTACCCACACTAACATCTGCCCTACCCTCACTAATATCTGCCCTACCCACACTAACATCTGCCATACCCACACTAACATCTGCCCTACTCACCCTTATATCTGCCCTACCCACACTAACATCTGCCCTACCCACACTAACATCTCCCCTACCCGCACTAACATCTGCCCTACCCACACTAAAATCTGCCCTACCCTCACTAACATCTGCCCTACCCACACTAACATCTGCCCTACCCTCACTAATATCTGCCCTACCCACACTAACATCTGCCATACCCACACTAACATCTGCCCTACCCACCCTTATATCTGCCCTACCCACACTAACATCTGCCCTACCCACACTAACATCTGCCCTACCCGCACTAACATCTGCCCTACCCACACTAACATCTGCCTTACCCATGGCTATCTCAAGTATGACATCAACCTATAATTACTAACACACAGTTCCTTTTAAAAATCTGGTATGAAATCACACAAATGAACCTTGGTAACATCTAATAGGTTATAAAGTACACTAATAAGAAAAATTTCATAAACATTAATATTTTAAAATCAGTACATTTTATTTATTTTTTTTATTTTCCAATAATTAATTTGAAGATTGAACACAATCAACTAAGTTCAGTTATTTGACAATACGACAATAAAACAATATAGAGATACATGAAAATTTGTAAGGTATAGAATAAATAAATCATAATTAGATGAACATGTCTATGATGATAAAATACATTTATTACATAGGACGATAACTAGTCTAAATATTGAAGGACATATCCTTATAATTATTTTTGGAATAGAAGTTTTAAAAACGGGATGAATTTCCAAGCAGATGTAGATAGCTTAATGATGCTTACAAATAATTTTATACATGTCAAAACTAGAAAATGGATCCATTGCACATTCACCCTTTTTTAGAATGGTAAAAATGGTATACTTTTACACTTCATTGGTTTTCTAAAAATAGAATAACACAACTCATGGAAGTAAATAATCAAAGGATTAAAAGAATTGCAAATAACAGCAATATGTACCAAGTAGATATTTAAATTGAAGTACTTTCACAAAAACAGCCTTTTGAAATGAAATAATAATCTGGGGCTCAAGATGATTTTCTGCTCAAATGAAAGATGATTTTTTACTATTATAATTAGTTTTCCAATCAAATTAATACAGTCACTCAAAAAATTAATTTCTTAGGTCAGTATCATAGGTAAGTATGACAGGAAAATGCCATATTAAAGTATCATAGCAAAATGGCATAGCATAATATCATATGAGTACCCATAGAAGATTATCGTAGAGCAATACATTAGGAGAGTAACTTAGAAAAGTGTCATAGGAGAGTATTATATGACAGTATTGCAAACTACCATAGCACAATGTCATAGGACAGTACCTTAGAAGAGTTACATAGGGCAGTACCATAGAAGAGCCAGTACCATAGGAGAGTTACATAGGACAGTGCCATGGGAGAGTTACATAGGACAGTACCATAGGACAGTTTCCTTGGACAGAATCGTAAGTCAGTTATCCTAAACAAACATTTTTAATCTTTACAATTAACACTTTTTTTTTCAATTATGTTAAATAAAATTAATTGCTGCGTCAGTTGAAAAAAAACTATGGTAAACTACTTTAAAACTCTTTCGCACAGTATTTCTAAATTCCTTTTTCAAAGACAATCTATAGTTACTTTCCTATCTTGATTATAGGAGCATACTTCTTATAATATGTAATTAACAAACTTTTTCATAATCTGCTTCATAAAACTTTATTATCGAATACATAAAAAGCTTATAACAACCATTATAATGCTAATAATGTAAATATTTCAGACATGAAGTTACTTTTATATAAATTTTATGAAAGCAATGAAAATCAAATTAAACATATGGAATGCTTATATTCAATCCAATATGACAAAAATAGAATGCGGTAAAACAAGTTAATTACATGTGGGCCTATTCCTCATGAGGAACATTTCAATAAAAGTTTACATTAAAGTAAAAAAAATAATAATCAACGTTTTGTATAAACCAATGACAAAATGCCATTTAATGGAACTGAGGGTGCGACACAAGACATCATCACAAAACTGAAAATTGGATTTCATCCAAGCAAAATTTATTGGATTATGTCCTACTTCTTCATGGGTAAACAGTTTTTTTGAGTTTGCTTTGTTTTTCTGTAATGCACTGGATTTTCCTTGAATTTATAGCTTTAATGATTGTACTAATGTATACATTTTATTTCAAATATTTGTATTCTACCATTTTATGAAACAATGTGATTGACTTTAATACCAGGTGATTGACTTTAACACCTGGGTTTTCAAGTTACTCTTGTGACCTTTGACTTTCACAAAGTACTCACAAGGCAGTAAGAACATCAGTTGGTTTGGACAGAACTTAAACCCCAGACTGTCAGAGTGCTTGCCCTGTATCTATCTGACTCAGCCACCAAACCATCAATGGCTAAAAGACTAAGCCTCCAACAGTGAAGTTGGCTAATAAATAGATTCCTATCGAACTCAACCCAAAAGAAAACCATGATGAAGGTATGCCAGGCTGTTGGAGGATCTTGTACAGAACAAAGGGTGGCACAAACAATAACAGTGGAGCTTTAACATTCAAAATAAATTACTTGATCTAAAAAAATAAAAAGGGGTCAGGGCATTTCTGAGACACAATGGGAAAGGAAAACTATTTTATGAATCGATACACAGAAAAATACACAGAATAAGACAAGACAGGGAGTCTCAAATATGGCATTAAATGGATAGTCAAATATGGCAGGAATGCACATTTTCAATAAAGATTATTGTGTCTGTTTTTCCATGTATTCCTTTGAACGCATTGAGAAACTGCTCACTCAGCATCCAAGACTTAAAATGTACATTGTGATTTTAACTAATTGATTCAAGGTAAAATGTTGTAATCTACTAACTACAAACTTTTGTGTGTATGCAATATATTAGTGCCCCCCCCCCCCAAATCCACAAGACTGACATATAAGTGAAATAAGACTTTATAATTTTCAATCTATTAAATAAAAATGAGATGGATATGAGAGAGAATGAAGAATATAATTCGCATCTTCAAAAGCAAATTGAAGCAGTTCATTGATATTTTATATACATATACACAAATTCTTTAACATTTTTTATTCTAAAAAGTTATAATAATTTACTATTTTGAACCCAATATTGTTCAACAATGACAATTAAAGCTAAAATATAATGTAAATCTCATTTATATTACAGCAATAGGTCTCTTGATAAGTTTGAATATAAACAATGAATAAAGCTGCTGTATTGTGTCATAATCTCTTACCAACTTTAAAAAACACTTACATCTGTTGCTTAACATATTTTCGACAAAGACTTATAGTAGCATAATTCAGATAAGCAGGTGACATGCATCAAATATTTTAAAAAGAGCATAATTTAACTATTGTTCAAATATACTAAACATGATCTGATAAAATATGTCGACTCCATGTATTTCATCAAGAGAAAGTTTTAAAATAATCTCACTTACAATTTTTAATTTTAAAACAACAGAAAGCACTTAACGGAAAATTATTAAATGCATAATTAGAGGTGTACAATTTTCTAGGATTATTTTTATAGTTTTTCTAGAAAATCATAATCATAGTGCATTAATTCACTCATGATGATTATTTAAACACTGATATTTTAGGACATCCATGTGACATCACTAAATAATTCTTGATATTATCTTTTAAGATTTTGTTACTTACTTTCAAGTGGCAGTTACCCCATGCTACTAAAGAATACACAATTTACATTGCTAATAGTTATAAAAAATGGAAATAACATATAAATATTATTCACCACATTTGACTTAATTTAAATGAACACATAAGGTCTTTAAATACTGTAATCGTGTACTATTTAAATTTCTTTATTAAGTGATTTAACAACATTCACCCCCCAGTCATTCACCTTAATTATGGAAAAACTCTTTCTCGATAGCTGCAGTTCCATTTAATTTAAAAGACAAAAGAAAGTTTTACTCCAGATTTACATGATAATTTTTAGCACAGTTTGACATTTAAAGCCACATAGGCCTAGTGGCGTAACAAACGTTTATTTGCAAGCTACTTGAAAGTAGTTGAATCATTCCTTGAGCCAGCACTTTTTTTTTTTTGCACTTTAAAATTACTATAAATACAACATCAGCCAGGGCTGGAATGTTCTTCACAAAGCTTCATCTGGCCTGAGAATAATTTTTCTGGAAAGAGACAGAGCTGTCGCCATGATTACGTGTCTATTTAGCAAATGTCAATTTATATTTTGATTCTGGTGTTAAGCTTTGGAATCATTTAATGCATCTGAGTCAGTTCTGCTCTCTCCCTCGTTCACCAAAAGTCTCCTCTTCACACCTGGGCTCTGTCGTAGTTTTAACACAAAGTATTTGTCCTTGCGTATATCACGAAGTTCCTCATAGAATTTATAGCGTGGTCGAAAGATGTCTTCATTTGTTGTGTTCCTTGTCTCTTCTTCTCCATATTCTGTTGAGCATTCTAGAGATTAACAGTTCAAATGAGCATTTTTGTTAAATGCGTTGGTAGTTAATTAAAAACTAGACAAATGGAACCTATAGCATGCACTGATCTTGGGCCTACATGCTAACCATCAAACAAAATAAGTCATTGCATCCAAATTGACCATTCCTAACAATATTGATTAATATGATGATTCTTCACAATATTGATCTCATGTTAGACAAGCCGAACATCCTAACAGAGCTCTGAAAACATAGCTGGTCGTTTCACTAAATTTGAGGTTTAAAGCCATAGTGAGAAGCATACCTGATTCTTATATATGCTAAGCTATCAGTAAATCTCTGCAACTATTAAATGATAAAGTCTCATTATTTGGTAAATCAAGTTCATTATTTTTACCGATTATACTTGCTCTCAAGCAAAGTTTTGTTCATAAATATTTCAGGGGTGGTCGAAAGGTTATAGGATATTTTGTATAATTTTCTCCATGCGCATTGAATGATAAAATTGTTATTGTAGATCCCCAAGTTCTAGTCAAACGTACCCTCTACAAGATTTGAATATGCTACCTGAAGCTTTACATAACAAATATCAGGACTAACCTTTATTATTTATATTAATTTTCTTTTTGATATAAACATAATATTTTAAAGATTGATCGCCACTAAGCATAAAAAAAAAAGATACCAGAAGTAGATGGAAAAAATATTCAGATGTGTTTAGCACCAGCATAATCTCATCCTGGCTTAGAATGATATTCTTTGGTACCATATTACTTACTTATTATTTTATGGGGTAGGTTAATGAGCAGGTTACACATTTTTTCATGCTTTTCCTGTCCTAATATAGGACCGACCGCCTATCAACAAATGGACTTTAGAACAGGTATATATGGTAATTGCTTTGTTTTTCTTCTTTGAGATGTATAGGCCTAACTTGAATTTACATCTAAACTGTACAGGCCTAACTTGAATTGACATCTAACCTGAACAGGCCTAACTTGAATTGACATCTAAACAATTTAAACCATTATTTAAACTATTTATTTTTTGTACCAAGTTCAGATTGTTTTTTTTTTCTTACACTGATGGAGCTAAGAGCTAAGTATGAATAAATCATATCTGCCAACATTTGCTATCATTGGATAATAGATGAGGCATAGAGTATTTACCTTGATATGACCACCGTATAGGAATGATGCCTCTCTCTGGAACAGTTACTACAGTTATAGGCACAGCGGCATACAATACAGAGTCTGAGAACTGACACTCTATCTGTAACAGAAGAGACATATATACAAAGTCTGGGAACTAACACTCAATCTGTAACAGAACAGACATAAATACAGAGTTTGAAATTAAAAAAAAAAAATTTTTGGACTTTAAAAATATCTTTTTATCTCTGCTTTTTATTTTTCTAATTGACAAACTGCGTCTCACTTTATTGCCAAGATACATCAACCATGCACTGTCATGGACATATATTTGTTATTACTTTATCTTTCATTAATTCTTCCCTTGCTTACCGCAACACAGTATCTGACATCTATCACGCGACACTTGCTTAACTTAGATGGGCAAGTTGGTGGCACTATAAGGCTCAAGTTCTTCCACTGCCGTCTCTGACCTGGCCGTACGCTCTCTTGAAACTCAAAATCCAGAAGTAATATTGGACGACAGTGGTTTTCTCCGTATGTGACTAGCTGAAGGGCAGAAAACAGTTTGGGAACCTATTTCAGTAATGAATATCTGGCATCTAAAGTTTAAAATAGTTAATTAAGCTTTGCGGTTACTGAATTAATTTCAAGTTGATGAAAGAAAGAAGAAATAACACTGTTACCGGTCAAATTTCATATTGTTTTTATATTGATACTGAGTTTTTAACATTGTGATAATTCTTTTGTTCAGTCTGTCTTTTAATGGAATTCAAGTTTTCTCCATTAATTATTTTTATTTATTAACTCTTTCGCTGTGGAACAACGCACATTGCGTTCTTCTGGCGCTCTCAAAAGCACAGACCAACACGCTGTGCATTGTTTCAATATCATGTTTGTTTCTTTGCTATTTCTCGGTTAGACTTTTTAAAGAGCAATTTTTAAATAAGACTTTAAATAGAAGAGTGGTATTTCATTATTTATAAGTGAAACCAAGGTTTATTTGTTGTCATTTGATGCATTATTTTAATGATTTTCTTTGCTTTTTTTCTTCTATTGTTGCTATGGCTACTCTAAGCCCCAGTAGGTGAATAAGTTTCCTAGAAGATTAACAGCTCAAAAAGCTTTGGAATAGTTTTATACAATTTCTTTTGATAGTGAAGATGATTTATATTTAAATATGATATATATTTAGGTCCGTTGCATGATGTGATAGTTTTAGAGGATTTGAGTTATAGAAGTGAAGATGTGGTATGTGTACATCTTAGGGTTTGGGGGAAAAATTGTTTAGCATAAAATGTTTTCACATTTTATGGTTCTTTTCTGTAACTTATTTTATTTAAACTGAAGAAATAAGTCTACAAACATATAGTCCTTTCAATTATCTTTCATTTGATACCAAGTTTAGTCTTATAAACCAAAGAATAATATTTTAAATATTTTTTAATAAACCCAACCTCCCACTTTTTTCGCTCTTTGAAAAAAATGTACATTTTTTTCTATAAAAAAATTCAGCAGCAAAAGATTTAATATTATATTGTGCTGGAATCAGAAACTATTTATTTTGGATTAAGAATATTTAGCGAAACATTTCAGAACATTTGGCATCCATCATTATTCTGTAAAGGTCAATTTATTTTTTGAAGACCTTTCTTCCCCACGTATTGAGCTGATTTTGCCTTGTTGGTGAGGCTTGTTTCCCCCCTTGCATAAAATAATGGCTGCTGGTATTAGTGTCTTCTAGTTTCTTTGTTTTTCCCACAGGTTTTCAACTTCTGGTATTCTATGAAAACAAAATACGCTTGGTTGTCTGCTGCTGTCATATTAGAAAATTTAAATACAAAGGCTCTACCAGGAGTCATTTAAATATGTGCTGATTATCCATCTAAATTGTTTTTTTGTTTTTTTCAATTTTATTTCAACATTTATGAATGTCAACGTGCAGTTAGATTGCATGTGCCCTGGGTTTGAGAGGTTAATGGATAATTAAATAATGATGATAAGAAGTGACTAAAAACTATTTGATTGGTAGAATGATATTAAATGGGGGATAATGTTTATCAAAACAATGTGAAAGGATTATTTTACTCAGATTCTGATCTTTCTTGGTACAAATCTAAACTATACCTGTTTGAGCTGCAAGCGACATGGACCAGACTTTCTCATGGTCATATTATGTATTTGGACATCAGCGTGTATAGTTTCACCTGGCACATATGAACGTTTGAGCACACACAGTGAGCATGATACACGAGAAGGGCGGCAGCAAGTTGTACTGAATGTCCGCTCTGCATGATCTTCAAGTACATGCCGTGACTGAAATCATAAAGAGTGGAATAAAAAGAAAGATATTTAAATGCTATTGAATGTATTGTTGATTAGCTTAATGTGTAACACTTTGATACTCCTAACATTCAATGTACCACATGTCATGAAAAAACAGAGATATGCCAATCCCACAGCATTACAAATAGCTCCACAAGTTAAGAAAACGCCACATCATCCAAATAGTTGCGAAAATTGTAAATATTAACCAGATGCTCAAATGAATATAATATTTATATCCTTTATATTAAATTTGCTTATGTTTGTGTGTTTCTAGCTTGCAAAATATTTGGACTGCTAATTAACCCACTTCATGTCAACCTATGGAACTGAAACATGACTCATAGACTCATTGCTGATGAAAATACATTCTTTCAAATTTTCTTGGGTAAACACTTTGAGAACACAATTATCTTGTTTTTTTTTAAATTTCAGCAAGTGTCACAGATTGTCGGTGTAGCCAATATCTGTAAAATATATTTTACTGCATTGAATTACTTAGCCCTAGTAGCTCTAGTACACAGTTTCTTAAGCATTTTAAATTAACTAAAAAATTCATAAAGATGCAAAGTGCCCTTACCACAATGTATGCGAAAAAATGGCTTTTAAATAGGGTAAATACTTGGAAATGAAAAAATGTTAAAACTTAATTATTATTTGACTTTAATTGGTCAAATATTTAATGTTTTTATTGAGATAGTAATTGAAACTTTAAGACACCATTTAAAAATAGCAATCTATTTTAAGATAACTGCTCCTCTTAGTCTGCTGTATCAGGCCATGACCTCACATAAATCTCTTCATAACCCCATTTGAGGTCATCTCCCATGGGCTGGAAACCTGTGCTCTAGTAGCTTGATTATCCCATGACGTCCATGCGCAAAACTAACTTTTTATTATTTAGTGTTTTTTTTGTATTTGAAAGATCAACATAGTAAGACATAATACATATTTAGATGCATGTAATAACATTCCTAATTGTTTTTTTATTTGAAACCAACCTCTTGTTACAAGTTGTAAGAAACTTTTGCTTGTAAATATTTAGTGATGCATTAGAAACTGGAATTAGAGACCTGTAAAGAATGCAAAACTCATAAAGTGTTGAGATTTTTCTACAAGTGGTTATATCCAGCTTTTGCTTAATACACATATTATTAGCTAGTTATTCATTACTAAAGATAAGCAGTGGAAAATGAAGCATCTAGTACAGTGGTTCTCAACCTTCCTAATGCCGTAACCCTTTAATACAGTTCCTAATGCTGTGGTGACCTCACAACCATATAATATTTTCGTTGCTACTTCACAAATGTGTATTTCCCGATGGTCTTCGCCGACCCCAGTGTAAATTTTTTATCAGGAAATCCTGGGATCCTGAAATAAGGAAAACTCTGTTCCCTTTCCTGGGATAAACAAAACCTCAGGAAATGAGAAACGCTAGTTCCAACCTGCTAAGCATAAGGGAAAGAGTCCAAAAAATCTTTATTTTAAACTATTTTTATGAACTTAAATCAATTTGATGATTGTTTTGAACCTTAATTTATTTGTCAAAATTATTTTATCTAGCTTAAATTTTAATTTTTAGGCTTTAAGTACATATGGTGGGCAATAATATGCAACTAATTTAATTTTAAATCAACAGTAAGCCTACCGCTGGAGATTTCTTTTCATTGTCTCGTTTGCAATCCAAGTCCCGCAAAACTGTGACAATTTTCTTTGTGGTAATATTGGATCCAGCTACTCTTGCCAGGGCTCCATGAACAGTATAGCGAATGTTGGCTTCAGGGCCCTCAAATGAACATGGTATTCCTGGTAGAGTTGATAGGATGTTGATTATCATGGTTAGTTCTCGATATATATTTATCCCTTACAGAGATTTGAGCCATATTTGAAAAATTAAATTACAAAAGTGATTTAACTCCATTTTTAAGTACTCCAATCTTTAATTTATACTTTGTCAGATCTGTCACTGATAAATTATTGGGAGGGAAGTTATTATAATAGACAATATATGTACCTTCTGGCAACTTGTATTGAAAAGGAAATAGATGCCTGCCTCTGTTCAGAACTTCTCTGCTTTCCCAGCGCCCATCATCTGCAACTGGCCGCAAATTGTGAAATTCTTTAGCTCATGATTTTAAGTAGCTAACAGCAGCATAGGCAAATTCATTGACCAAACTTTAGCATAAACAATAAAGCATGTACAAAAAACATTCACACTCTAGCCGCATAATTGAGATCTTCCAACACATAAGTTTTATTTGTAATTTATCTGTCGCTTATTGTATTGTCTGCTGAAGAAGGCATCTAGCCAATAAACGCAGTCCCTCGTCTATTATAAAAACCATTATCTCAAGTGCTTCACATAGTTAATAAAATGAAAATAAAATCTTTACAACAATAATTTTATAAAAGCTGATGTTAAATCACTTATAAATTTTGAGTGCATTGTTTTTTCTAGACTTTGTTTTACATTTAATAGCTTGAAAAATAAACAATTGAGCTTTATTTAAGGTATTAGTTTGTAAAATTGAACTTTCCTATTCTAATACTTTTATATCGCATCTCATTAAAAATGCTGTTCCATTTTTTCCCAAAACTGTAACAGCATTCTGTGCATTTGAAAATGTGTGTTGGTAATGACAAATGTAAAAATGCTTAGTAATTTGAATAAAGTTGGGTGTCGAGGTCATGTAATCATGATTTAATGTTTTATTTTTAACTAGGACTAGTACAGCTGTACTTAATAGAATTTAAGTATATCTCCAGGGCATATTGGTTGAAAGATGTTAGGTGATGCGTAATAAATAGGTTAACTGAGCTGTTTAAATTACATGCAGAGAAAGTCAATGTCCCAAGGATGTTTGGGTCCATTGTTTGAAAGCTGCGTGGTTTTCAAAATGAGTACAGAGATCGAGAGAGAACAATTAGAAAGAGATGTAGAGAGCTTAAGGTTACTGGACCTGTAGTATATTGGAATAGAGAGAAAGTCCTTTTAGTAGGAATTAGTACACTGAGGAAACAATCATTATTTATGTATACTTAAGCCTATTATACTACTGTGGACAAGTGTAAATAAACTCTTCAAGCTTGTTAACTTGGTGTCAGAGTTTTACTTGATATTTGTCAGCCCAACCAGGCTGTATCTATCACTCAAGCACTTCAGTAAAACCAGACATTTTGATATACTGTGAACCACAAATATTTGGCAGAGGCACACACAATACAACTAATATTTCACATTGGGTTTAAATAATCTAAATCATTTTCTTATAAAACCAATTTTTAAATTTTACTTTAAATATTTCAAATTAACAATTTTTTTAATAATGATTGGAAAAAATTAAAAGGTTATTAAATATTCCACAATATAATTTAAAACTTTGGCTTTGTATAAATATATATGTAAATCTGTACTCAGACCAGTTGTAACATACGAAAGTGAAATTTAGACCCTAAGAAAAATGCCAGAAAACCTATTAAACACATGCGAGAGAAAAGTTATCAGGAAAATATACAGACCAACAATGTATGAATATGGATGGAGAATACAATCCAACAAGGCATTGTATAGACTATATCAGGATCCCATGCTATTAGCAGAAATAAAAAAAGGGCAGGCTATGCTGGGCGTGACAGAAAGAATGCCAAATGATAGAGAAGTGAAGAAGGTGCATCACCAAAACCTCAGAGGAAAACAGCTCAAAGGCAGACTTAGGCTTATATGGATGGATGATTTGGAAAAAGATCTGCAATAGCAGGGAATCCAAACATGGAAAAGAAAAGCATCAGTTAGGTCTGAGTGGAAGGATGTGGTGAGGCAGGTCAAAGCCCTACATGGGCTGTAGCACCACAGGGATGGATTGATGTTGTCATCATACTTCTATCTGTCGCAAGTTATAGATTGAAAAATTTATTTTTCCCCAATCTTTATGGCTTAGATCATATTCTTACACTCATTATATTGAAACTTGTTATTTGACATTTTTTTGGAATCACCACCTCCACAAACTTAGTCATAAAATGCTGACGTCTAACAGCCACCCCCTCTCCACCATGCACCTTTAAACCCAACAATAAAAGGGTAACAAGATATATATTGGTGGATATGTCACTTATGCTGATAAGTCATTCCCTATATTTTTAATGACCCACATAAATTACTTTAACAATTCTTAAAAATAGTGGCAGTTCATATTTTTTACCGCTTAAATCTATGAGAATTTGCATGTTAATGCAGAATATTTATTTTTTACTTCCTGTTTTTTAACATCTTATCTATTATGGATACAAAAAATACAAAGAAAATATAATTTATTTTAATCAGATAAACTATTATGAAAACTGTAGTTAATTATTCATCAATTACACAATTTTTTAACCTTTCTGCACAAAATTGCATTTTTGTGACTTAATGTCCTTACTTATGAGAAGGGTATGGGATTTATAATTTTTTTTAGCCATTAGTTTCCACTACCAAGACTGAAATGATAAACATATAAAATTCTCATGAAATATATTAGCAGGTAGAGAAAAAATAAAATGCTACAAATACAACATGCAACATTATATAATTTATATTTTAAAAATCATTTCTTTGTTACCGAAGAAAGAAACATTGCACTCACCCTTTCCCCACAGACAAAACCTGTCATCAAAGTAAATTTCTTCTTTTTCATGCTCTACTTCTGTTTTCCAACCAACCTCCCGCCATTTTGCCCTTGCTGCACCACGAAATCGAAGTTCAACTCCTGTAGATTAAGTGAGCCAAAAAAAAATATTTGAAGAAATTTATGAGAAAAAAATTCAACATGGAAAAGCTGGGCAAGCACAACTTTTACAAATTTAAAATAATTTTGTGTTAATTCTAAGAACAGATTTCTTTTTAAATACTTTTTATTAATCTCTTTGTTTCTTAAATCTCATTCATATTCTTTGATCTCTAGTTCAAAGAAAGGAAATGTTGCACTGGTATAACATTGGATCTGGGAACCTTAAATCAATTAAAATTTGGTGGATCTTTGATTTTCGTATTAAAATAATAATTTTTTTTTTTAAATATTTCTGGATCAAGTAGCTGGATCAAGTAGCAAAAACAAGTAAGCAACAAAGTAAAGAAACAGTGAAAACATATAGTCATAGTTTTCATCACAACACTATTATTACCTATTTCTATAATTCCAAATCTCAATGGGATGGTGTTCTTTTTTTTTTTTTTTTTTTTTTTTTTTTTTACTTTTTTGCTTTTCACAATTATTTTTTTTTATTTTTAATTATTTCATCACAACACTATTATTACCTATTTCTATAATTCCAAATCTCAATGGGATGGTGTTCTTTTTTTTTTTTTTTTTTATTTTTTTTATTTACATCTTTGCATTTCACAAATATTCTGTTTGACTTTTAAGTAAGTATTAGTCAGAATGTTTATTTAACATGACTTGTAAAATTATCAACCTCCCTTGGTTTACCACTAAACAAGTCATAATTTTTCCTTTTCTTTGGTTTACCACTAACCCAAGTCATTTATCCTTTCCCATGGTTTACCACTAAACAAGTCATTATCCTTTCCCTTGGTTTACCACTAACAGTAACAGAGAAGTTAAATGTGTATCAGATGGGGAGCTGTTTAAGTCACGCATTGTTTGCTCTTACTTCTTACCAGCTCTGCTCTGGGTTTGAAGAGAATATTTCAACTAAAAAAACAAGATAGAAAGTCTTGCTGTGTTGAATAGAGCAAACTATTTTTTTGAGATCCAAGTTATTTTTATTGAAGTTCAACCTCAAAAAGCCCCTAAAACTCTGCTTCAACGCTTTCTAATGCCAAAACGTATCCTAAATAATGAATAAACTGGGCAGTAGCTTGTAGATTGATAAAATAAACAGAAATAATCAATATCTCCTCTTTGCAAAGTTGTCTTTTTGCCTTTTCAAGCAATTAACATGTTAGAAAATCTGTAGATGGCTAAATGACCAATATATCTATCAATGCTCAACACAATTTTATAACTCTGGTAAAAAATAACAGAGCATTTCTCTCTTTATAAAAATACTTAAAACGCAGGTGTTTTTAAACACACATGTCAGCAAGTGTTATAGCCTGTGTGTTGACCTAATTTTGCTTCAACATAGTGCTGTGACATCCAGTAATTGCTTCTCCCTTTTGTTTCAGTATTGATGTCAGCAATAAAATTTGTAATGCTCTACCAGTCACCCTTCCCTTTATTGGTAAAAAGGTTGTTTACATTCTACTTGTTCTAAAGAAAGCTATTGGGTGATGCAATTTCTAGAATTTCTTATCTGGAGGGTTCTAACTCTCCTATAAATAAGCCGGTAGTTTTCCCTTCCCAGCAGAGAGATTTTTGCTAATTTTACTAGACAATGACTAGACATAACACACTTATAAGAACCTTACAAGATCAAGATCAAGATCCAAGGCACTACCAAAACATGGATCTCTAGCTTCCTCAGCGACCGATGCCAGGCAGTAGTGGTAGATGGCAAAACCTCCTCCTATGTCTGTGTTAAGTCAGGGGTCCCCCAAGGCTCAGTGCTAGGCCCTTGTTTGTTCCTAGCATATATCAATGATCTGCCCGAGAAGCTGACCTCTCAAGCAAGACTGTTCGCAGACGACACAGCGGTATATAGGACAATCGTCAACAGCTCTGACCAGAGCCAGCTTCAACGCGACCTCAATCGGTTCACTGAGTGGGAGATGAGCTGGGACATGGAATTTCATCCCGTCAAGTGCCAGACCCTGTCAGTCTCTAGAAGAAGATTCCCTCTAAACCACTCTTACGAACTGCATATTCTTGAGCCAGTTTCCTCCGTAAGGTACTTGGGTGTTACCAATCAAAGATAGGTCCGCTGGGACGAGCACATTAACAGTGTGCGCAACCGGGCAAACAAGACCCTAGGGTTCCTAAGGCACAATCTGAAGATCGGAAACTCAAGCCTCAAGCGTGAAAGAAAAAGCCTTTGCCCGGCCTATTTTAGAGTACGCTTCTACAGTCTGGGACCCATTTACCCAGAAAAGCATAGACAGGTTGGAGGCGGTCCAGCGACGGGCAGCACGCTTTGTCATGAACCGCTACAGAAACAGCTCAAGTGTTGGCAGAATGCTAGAAACACTGGGCTGGTCTACATTGGAAGAACGACGACGACTATCCAGGCTCACCATGTTGTACAAGATAAAACATGGGCTGGTCCACTGCTCCGGAATCAAACAGAAACTCGTTCATCTTCCCCCTAGACTGTGACGAAGCCACAACAGACAGTTCTGGCTGGTAAAAACAAGAACAAAGTATAGGAGCTCCTCATTCCTGCCGAAGACAATAGGGGACTGGAACAAGCTTCCAAAAGCAACAGTTGAGGCGGCTACACTCGACACATTTGTGTCTATTGCCTCCTGTATTCCAACCCCCAGTTCATAACACCACTGCTGAGTCGCCCTTGCAACCAGTGAAGCATCCCATTGAAACCCATGCACAGTAATATCGCAAACCCCTCTGAAACATAGGAGCCAGAATGATCAATTCATTGATCGTGGGCCCTCAAAATAAAGAAGAAGAAGAAGATCATACTCTTTGTGTGTGTGTGTGTATGTTAATATTTATATCTTTCGAGGATTATACTTTTTCACTTGCTGTGCTATAGCAAAATACAGTTCTACTTCTGTATATTTGATTTTATATATTTTATATAAACTTAATAGTATAAATAAATTGTGTATTTTTAATATCACTAGCGTTGGTATAGTTTTTCTTTGAATTCTGGTTTTCAGTCCTTTGTTATGTACTGTTCATTCTACAAAATCTTAAAACAGATTCAATTTTCAGAACCATAAAATGATAGGTAAAATCAAACTAATTTTTTTAAAACATGCACAAACAGTTTGGTAATTTTTGTCTTTCCCACAAAAGATTGTTGTCACCGCTCCAAATAAAATAACCACCATATTGACCATTGCTTATAACACTTACATTATTTAAGCTGACAATATGTAAGTTATGCTTGCAATACATATTTACACTATTTTAGCCACAAAGTTGTAAGCCATGCAGTCCATATGTTTTTGACCTTAGTCTAAAGTAGGTATTTAAATCTGCCATCCTTGCCTGTTGCTACATTAACCAGTGCCAGCTGTAGACACTTAACAAATTGATGGTTATTTTTAGCCTACCTATTACAAGAAGTTTTCTTGTGCACTAAAAAAAAAACGAGTTTATTCAACCATAACAGATGTCATTCTTGGATGGTTTTATCATTTAAATGTTAGTGTTCAAATTGTTTAAGTGGCCCAACTGATATGTTTCCATCACTTCAAAAAAAAACAACATTGCTGATGTCTATATTTTATGATACATGATAAAGTGTTAGTGGTTGCTAAAAAAGAGATTTTTGGGGGTAAGAGGTCACAGGGTGCAGGCCTTAGGCTTAGCCTCCCTGTTATGAGAAAGTCATCAGTGTGGGAATAAGTAGGTCCAGCTCAGGGTTATGAGGTCAACCAATCCATGGGAGACAACTATTGATCCCACTGGTCCTCTGGATCAGTGGCTAGGCTCCAGAAGTGGGGAGATGGTGTGCATATGTTACTACATACCAGGAAATGCCTCTTCTGTGTTTTGGGGAGACAGGAAAGTGGCAGTTCTTTTTGTATGGGGGGGGGGGTGTAGTTGTGTAATTTTTTAATGGGAGGGGTAGGGTTGCTATGTTTTGAGTTTATATGGGATTTTGGCATTTTAAGTGCATATATTAGGAATGATAGGGACTTTTTCTCTGTATTATAATTTTGTATTGGACTATGTTTTGTGTATAAGTGAGGATTGGGAGTGTCTATGTTTTGTGTATAAGTGAGGATTGGGAGTGTCTATGTTTTGTGTATAAGTGAGGATTGGGAGTGTCTATGTTTTGTGTATAAGTGAGGATTGGGAGTGTCTATGTTTTGTGTATAAGTGAGGATTGGGAGTGTCTATGTTTTGTTTATAAGTGAGGATTGGGAGTGCCTATGTTTTGTGTATAAGTGAGGATTGGGAGTGTCTATGTTTTGTGTATAAGTGAGGATTGGGAGTGTCTATGTTTTGTGTATAAGTGAGGATTGGCACTTTCTATGTTTCATGTATAAATGAATGGTGTACCAAGTTGATATTGTCTATGTTATGTTCATGTATTTTATAACACTGCCATAAGGTGGAATAATATTCAGAATTACAAGCATTTTGGGTATTACACAAGAAAATTAAACAATGTTTTTATTTATACTGTGCACCGGACAGCTCAGATGAGAACACTGGCTCTTGAACAGCATAGATCTTTGCATTAGCTCTTGAACAGCATAGATCTTTGCATTTGCTCTTGAACAGCATAGATCTTTGCATTAGCTCTTGAACAGGACAGATCTAACCATTTTTTCTTGGACAGTATAGATCTGAACACTGTGTCTCAGACAGCAGAGATCTGACCACCGCGTCTCAAACAGTAGAGATCTGACCACTGTCTCAGACAGTACGGATCTGAACATTGTCTCTTGGAAAGAACAGGTTTGAGTAATGTCATTTGGTCAAAAAGGCTCTCGCAATTTATCTAGTTGTTCACATGTCATTAGACTATGGAGTTCAATTTCTATTACATGTATTAATAATAATTTATGAAAATAAATATTTTGAAGATAGTTAGAAATCAAACATCATCCAGTCTATTATTGTTAGTATGATATTCCCATAGGCATAATGAAAATATCATTATTTTGTTTACAGCACCATTTCTGTTTGCAAGCAATGTGTTAAGTATGATGTCAAACCAACACCAGTCACTTGCATTACATGTGCAGCAACAAATTATAAACATCAGCTTTGTGACATTTAAATCAGTTGAATTAATATATTTTCCTTAAGAATAAATACTATTAACTCTTTCCAGGCCAGGGGAGTTTCCATGTCTGTGCCAGAACAGTTTTCAGCAGATGGCAATTTTTTTAAGGTGCTCTTAGTCTTATCTATCAATGAATTTTTGTAATCTTTTTTTTTTAGCTGTATTTCATACCAAATTAAAGGAAATTAAACAGAGAATGATAATATTTAAGATAAGACAATATGGCAATAATAGTTTAAATGGTAAAATTATGATATCCAAAAAGAAAAAAAAAAAAATTTAAATGCACATTAAATCTGAACTTATCAGACAGTCAAATGGTCTGTGTAGCTGGTATCCTATTCTGCTTCAATCCTCAGAAGGTATAATATCTATTTTTTATCAGAATGCATTATACATTTTGAAAATATTCTATTTAGTAACATAGCTACACACATTTTTGTCCACCTTAGAACCTTGTTAGCTTTCAATGAGATGCTCATCTGCACTGTTGGTGGGCTTTTTCCCTGACTTTGATAGGGTGAGCATTAGGAATGGAATAGGCCCTATTATAGGCGAAATGAGTGTTTCAGGGTTCTGGGCTTTACAAACTGTTCTACTTGCATCTTTTCTGCCTAATTTTTGACTTCACTTTGCAGGAACAGGAGTAGCATTATCTAAAACTTCACTGTCACCATTATTACTATCACCTCCTCTATTACCCTTAACCAGCCCATCAGAAAGCTGAAAATCATCACTTGAATAAGATTCAAATGTATCATGGTTATTGTCTGATGTTTCAGCATCAATAATTTGCAATAAAAGCTCTTGTTTGCAAACTTGACTCTATACATGGTCTAGCAAAACCTGATGTGCTTGGAATAGGCATGGTTATTGCTTTATTTACAACTATTTCACCACAAATTTGAAAAAAAAGGTCGCAATTATTGGAAAAACAAACATAAATAAACCTTACTTCTAACAGGAAGGAAGAAGGAAGAGTTATCATTCATTGAGAACATAAAACATAGGACTAATAGCCCTAGGATTGATAGCCATAGGATTGGAACAAACGCAGCCCGTCAAATCAGCGATATTTCGTTGATATGCTGGAAAAGAGTTAACATTCTTGAAAAACTTTGGTGTTAAAAAAAAAAAACTACAAAAACTATATTTTGAAATGTGTATGTGGTTAAGTGGTTTTCAAATTTTCATTCTGAAAGGTAGAATGAGGAAAATTCAACTATTATGGTTATGACTTATTTAAATGTATTTAATTACATTAAATATTTCCTGAATACTTGTAAAAAAAAAACATATTGAATTTTTGTTGCCTTTTGAGGAAATGGTGATCCCTGCCTCACATTTTTATATATATGCAACATCACCATCTTTACCTTCAAAAACATCCACATCACCATTCTCACCTTTAACCCAAAAGTAACTTACCTGCTATCGTTACAGGGGCAGCCACGTGAACAATAAGAGCACCCCTTATACGGTCACCAGAGTAGTAGACAAGGTCAGCCTGCTCTAAACTCAGCTCGAGGAGAGCAGTGCTGGTCATCTTGTCATGAAAAGCCAGCATGGGGCTGTTGGTGCCACAACATATCATAGTGTTGTCATAGAGTATCTTGCTGTCATATTGGCTATTTCATCTGATTCCAAATGCTTGGTTCTGTAGCATTACTAAGAAATGAGTGAAATAAGTGGTTTTTTTTTAATTATATTGATTTAATTATTATAAAACCTTTAATTTGCTCTGAGAATCGAAAGAAAAAAAAAAATTAAATGGGAAGAGGTTTTTATAATAACATTGGCTGTTACCACTTAGCATTAAAAAAATATATATATTAATCAGAACAGAAGATTATTGCTATAAGCTAAATATATTCACATCATAGCCATTATTTTGAAAAATGTGGGGTTTTTTTTGCATATACTGTAGTATATTCTCAAGTAAGATAATATGAGATCATTTTAAATAACATGATTATATCCTCCGTCAAAGGTGTCACAAGTGAGCACAAATTTCCACGATGATGTTTACCCAATGTTCTGCAAGCCATAACTCAAGAGCCTCATGAAACTCTTCAAATTTATTGATGTGAATCATTTTTTACAAATCTATGACATTTAAATAAGCTGCACCCTTGCCCCCATATTTGTCAATATCAAAATATTTTCTTAGCAGATAAGCATATTAAATTCTTAATTTAATAACTTTAAAACCTCACAAAGTAATGTAACTCGATTAGCTAGCAATAATGCACAAAATGTAAAGCTGTGTCTATACAAAAAAATTAATTTCTCTCTATTTATTCTAACAAAAATCTTAAAATTAAAAACACACACAGGACAATATGAGTGAGTGTCATTGTTCGACATTAGATCATGCAACTATCCAGTGATGGAAATGTACGCACATATAACTTTCTATGAAGTGATGTCTGTCACTAACACTAAGGTTCAATTCAATAGCGTGCAAAATAAAAAACCTGATAATTGCGCAAATTCATATTCTTAAAAATACCGCAAGTGCATTTGGTATGTAATATTTTCTTTTGTTTTATGGAAATAGTCTCAATTTTAAGATTTTATTTTTTTTTAAATAAGCATTTTCTAGCCTAAAAAAATTGAAAACAATATAAAAAATATTTAAAATATTAATTAAAACATTAAAAGTATATTAAATCAACAAAATATGTAGCATACAGGAGATGAGTAGACACAGACTCATAGTTGTTAGTTATGGAAAATGCAGCTATGGCACACTTTTAAAAGTGTTTTAAAGCATAGAGAGTGTTGGAAAGGTTAATAACATTGTGGGAAATGTTTATAAGTGTGTGGGGATGCTATATCAAGGTTTAAAACATAAATTTAATAGATGAAATATGAGTTTTCTTCTTTGTGGATTTTCAGGTCAAACAACAAGTGGTCAATCCATGGAAGTTAGTTTGTTACTAATAGTGTTTAGGGGCTAGAAAATTTGCTTTTAAAGTAAGGCCTATACATTAATTTTTAATGAGAAAAATTGTTCAAAATTTTAATTTGTTAACTTTTAATTTAATTTTAATGAAACAAAGATAAATTACTACTTTTTGTTAGCCTAAGCCTACGCCTACATGTGATTTTGACCATCTAATATCTAACATACAACAATAGCAAGCCTATATGCTAAGAATAATTTAATTGACTTAGTTCCTAGTGGCTTTCTCTCTGACACATGTGATCATAGGGGCCATCCATAAAGTATGTCGCGCTCAAAAGGGGGGGGGGGGGGGGGGGGGGGAGAGTTGTGTGTTTCAGGCCATGTGTGACTTCACACATTTATTTTTTTTACATTTTATTTCTAATATATTTTTTTAATTTTTTTATTAGAATTTAATAGCTTTAAAAATAATTTTTAATAATTTTGTGAAACATTTGAATTAGTTTTATGTCAAAATAGCATGAAATGCGTATCTCCTGAATGTGTTGTTCACAATTCCTCTCGCTAGGAGCACTAGTATGCAAGTTTCGCTAATATATTTCTTATCCTGTGTAAAAAAAATTGCATAATCGGAAATTATCTAAAACTTGACCTCACCTTTTGTAAATGAAAAAGCAGCAGATAAATGATGTGTATTATATAATTGTCTAGTCTAATTTTTGCAATTTTTGTTTTTAAATTCAATCTAGATTGAGTTACTGCTTCAATGAATAACTGTGACAACTGTAGACAATTAACTATTCTACTATTTAAGACTATTAAAGTAATTTTAATAATGTGATAGTTCTTTTAAGTGGAAATTTTATATTTTAATACAGTTTAAAAGTGAAGTGTGTTTTCGGTTAAATTAGGTGTTAATTTTTTTAAATCTTTGTTTCGAAAGTGTGATGTACTTTGTGGGGGGGGGGGGTCCGAGATTTGTGACAGTTTGTGTGACAGGGGGGGGGGGGGGTAAAAATTGTCAAAAATAGCGGGGTGTACTTTATGGGCAGCCCCATATTTGGCATTATTTGTCATGGGGGGGGGGGGTCCGAGATTTGTGACAGTTTGTGTGACAGGGGGAGGGGGGAGTAAAAATTGTCAAAAATAGCGTGATGTACTTTATGGGCAGCCCCATATTTGGCATTATTTGTCATTTTTAATCATTTAAATGTTATCCAAAATACTAATTATTACTATTATGTGATCCCTGACATTAATCATTAATGTATATTATGGTATATATTTTTTTTTAAATATATTTTAATAATTAAATGTTTAAGAAAAGTTTATCAAAATTAAATTTTCTGTGAATAATACTTCAGTAGGCTTTTGTTAAATAGGCCTATAATATTCAGATTATCATTTTTTTTTTTAAATTATACTCTATTAGGACTGCAATATTTTCATTTACTGCTTGGATCCATACATTCATAAAAATACGAATATGAAACAAATAAAGGTAAAAATTATTAAAGCAAAATCTTTTTTTAGCAGACTAAGGCCAACTAAGGCCAAAGTGCTGAAGAGTTGTAAATAAAAAAAATATATCCTTGAACCTATTCATATTCCTAAAAACTTGCCCCTCGCTCCCGGTGTTGTCTGGCATAGATCTAATTATAGCTCGACACGCAATAAATCATTCCATCATCAGCAGCTACATTAATTAAACGAATTATTTGCTACTAGTACTACTAGTACTAGTGTCTTGTCTTCAGAACCCAATGACCAAACGGTCCCCGCGTAGTATTACATACAACGTATTTTTCATGAAAATAACATACCATTACCCACCAGCACCATCTGAAAGTCATAAGAAATTATATTAGTCTGTATCATTAATCATTATCTAACTCAGAATCTAAGCCTACTAATTAACCCTACAGGCTCAGCTCTCATGACTCATGAGCTTATATTTTCTCAATTATGCACTTGACGCATGCGGTCACTCAATCAATGGCTGCTTCCAGTGACAAATGTGTTTCTTTTAAATATATTCACGTTGAAGACGAGGGGTAACTCACCCAATTCAGTGAACAGGACGGCATATCTGCAGCTTATTTGTTACATCCCATCATGAAACATCGGGAACTTACAAATGCAATGCGACAATGTGTCCGCCTATCCATTTAGTTAATCCTTTTTACTCGGGCCTTTCATTGGCGGTTTATCCGTATATCCCTGCAAACAAACAACAGTTGAAGGTAGCTCGTCTCAACTGCAATCCTGCGCTACGAAACCTATGTGTATTAATGTGCCTGGGTTAAAAATACAGGAAAATTGGCGAGCTGGGTTTTCTAAACGGCTCGCACGCGCTAAACAAATTATCGATCGCCCTTTCGCCCCCCGTCGTCGGTAATAAAGTGTTGAACGGCTGGGTTTGAGGATAGACTGACAAGGGAAATGTCATTGATGGTAGCAGATTTTGAAAGTAGAGGAAAAGCAAAGAAAAATTATATACACAATGTTTTAACGTAATTAAAAATGACGGTTGGTTTTAAGCGCATTGATAGATGAGGGTGAGCACTGCCACTAACACATCCTTGGTCAGTGGAACCGATGATGCCGGGCCTGAATCCTGATTATCCATGGGCCATAGGGCAAGATGAGAAACATGGTCGTGACCAGGGCCAAGCAGGGCCGGCCATAACAATTGCGGGGCCCTATGCGAAACGGATTACGTGGGGCCCAGTCTGGGTAGGGATAAGGATAATCAGTGAAAATTAAGATTTTGTATCAGAAAAAAAGTGTGGGGCCCACTGCGGCCGAATAGGTTGCAGTGGCCTAAGGCCGGCCCTGGGGCCAAGGGTCTCAAAAAAGGACACTGGAACTAAACTAAAGGTGCATTCACAGATGATAACATATAACCAAACTATAAAGGTGCATTCACTTATTGATAATATATAATCTTCAGCTTTTCAGGACAGTACTGACTGATACATATAACTATGGGGCTATGAGCCCCGTTGTTGGCTGTGCCCCCCAGGGGCATAGCTAGGGTTAGTGCTGCCTGGGGCGGACCGCTCCCTCCGCACCCAGGTTTACGCCGGGCCTTCATCCAGAGCCCTCGCGTCTGCCCTGCAGCCTGCAACCCCTGCTGCTTTAGGAGGCCTCCGATATTTAAAGGGGCCAAGAGTGTGATGTGGAGGTGGGGGATGTAAACTATCAGCTTTGAATCCAGGGGTTAATAAGTCTGAAAAGTATACGTGGGCCTCCAAAAGTCACGCGCCGCCTCTTCTTCATCTAGCATCCAGGGCCGGCTCAAGGTACCGGCAACTCAGGCAGTTGCCCGGGGCGCCATTAGCTTGGGGCGCCAATCAAAGATCTTCCAAATCAGGAAAAAGCATTGCAATTGGACGCCAAAGAAGAAAAATAGAAGTTTGCAATAAAAGATTTGTTGATCTAAAGGCTAGGAAAAAAAATTCATCAGTAGGTTAATTGTTCATACTGCCCACGGTAGGCTAATTGTTCATACTGCCCACGGTAGGCTAATTGTTCATACTGCCCACGGTAGGCTAGTTGTTCATACTGCCCACGGTAGGCTAATTTTGTTCATACTGCCCACGGTAGGCTAATTTTGTTCATACTGCCGCCGGTAGTCTAATTGTTCATACTTCCCACGGTAGGCTAATTGTTCATACTTCCCACGGTAGGCTAATTTTGTTCATGCTGCCCACGGTAGGATAATTTTGTTCATGCTGCCCACGGTAGGCTAATTTTGTTCATACTGCCCACGGTAGTCTAATTTTGTTCATACTGCCCACGGTAGGCTACTTTCATGCTGCTCACGGTAGTATAATTGTGTTCATGCTGCCCACGGTAGGCTAATTTTGTTCATACTGCCCACGGTAGTCTAATTTTGTTCATACTGCCCACGGTAGTCTACCCACGGTAGGCTAATTTTGTTCATACTGCCCACGGTAGGCTAATTTTGGTCATACTGCCCACGGTAGGCTAATTTTGTTCATACTGCCCACGGTAGGCTAATTTTGTTCATACTGCCAACGGTAGGCTAATTTTGTTCATACTGCCCACGGTAGGCTAATTTTGTTCATACTGCCCACGGTAGGCTAATTTTGTTCATACTGCCCACGGTAGGCTAATTGTTCATACTGCCCACGGTAGTCTAATTGTTCATACTGCCCATGGTAGTCTAATTGTTCATGCTGTCCAAATCCAGGTTAACAAAAACACTTTTATTGTTCATTGATTGCTAATAAAAAAAAGTAATTAAACGGAAATAAACGCATTATCCAACCCCTAGTTTTTCCTCACAAATATGTGTATGATTATACATAAACGGGGCGCAAAAGTTAAGTTGCCCCGGGGCGCCACCAACCGTGGGGCCGGCCTTGCTAACATCCCCTTCGATCATGAAGAGTTAATATGTAAATGAATTGAATATTATAGACCTATACTTTACCAACCCAACCCCACCCCCAAAAGCCCCGGACAAATCATATAGCACCCCATGAGTGGAAGGATATAAAATATTGAGTTGAAACCAGATCAATACAGAAGGGGAAACAAAGGGTTAAAGTAACCACAGGCTTTTCGGCTGCTATCATTATTATTGAAAACTTACTTGTAAGCCCTAACTACCTTACTGGTTACCCAAGTTGGGCTTAATTTTTTTTTTTTTTTTTTTTTTTCGTTTTGGTTTCCAGTTTTGTTACTCTCTTTCCAAAGTGGTGTTCCGCGAACTGTCACCGTGGCTGCTATCATTATTATTGAAAACTTACTTGTAAGCCCTAACTACCTTACTGGTTACCCAAGTTGGGCTTAATTTTTTTTTTTTTTTTTTTTTCGTTTTGGTTGCCAGTTTTGGTACTCTCTTTCCAAAGTGGTGGTCCGCGAACTGACACCGGTCTACTGATCTTACTTTGCTCATCATGAAAACATGGGTCAAGAAACGGGAGTGGGTGTGTTTAAAATGCTGTCTCATTTAGGGGATCCTTCGTAAATTACGTCACGCTCAAGGGGGAGGGGTGGGGGTCGAGAACTTGTGACACTTTGTGACGAGGGAAGGGGGAAAAATCTTTATTCAACTAATTTTTAAAACATTAATTTAGTTCAAAATTGCTTCAGGTATTATGGGTAATGTGAAACTCAGTCGCGCACACCTTTTGCGCAAAAACTGTTGTGGATATTTTACATTCGAGCGGGGATGACTTTGTTGTTTCGCGTCACAGATTTCTAATAATACTACATCTTAATCCATTATCGTTATGGGAAAATGTTAAAGAATATAATAAAATCTTAGTTTAGTTATGAAAATTGTATGCATGTTTTCATTTTTTTTAAGGTGTGATGTGACACTAAAAAAAAAAGGGGGGGGGGGGGGAAAGAATTTGTGACACTTTGTGACAGGGGGGGCTAAAAAGGTCATTCTTGTTTGATATAATTTGAGAAAGACCCCTTAAGTCTTGATTCAAAGCCACTTTCAAACAAACAAACAAACAAACAAACAAACAAACAAACAAACAAAAACAAAAACAAAAACAGCGAGCTTGTCTTGTGCATAAACTTAACATCCAGCCTTTTATGAACACTCGTAATTATGGCCCTGCCAGTGTCTGATCGCGAGAGTGGCGATTTTTTTTTTTAAATAAAGGAAATTGATATCCTGAACATGGTGAAATTGCCATGAAAGTACCCTTTCCAACGGCTTGCATTAAAAGATTTGATTGATCGCAGATATTGTCGGATTAAGACTTCTGGGTGACCCTAGACCTGGGGTCGGCAAACTACGGCCCGTGGAACATATCCGACCCTCAGCGTCGGTTAATCTGGCCCATGGAGTACATAGCGATTTTGATGTCACAGAAAATTTCAGTCGATGCATAGTTAGGCTACATTGCATAGGAAAACAACAGAAGAGGCCATTTTCAAAGAGGTAGAAAAATGTTATTTCTAAGTATAATTCTCTTTAGACAAAATTCGCATCAACAGATGGGGGTTAAAAAAACAAATGCGATGAAGGGAAACGTATAATTGCGCAAAAATCCATATCATTACATAGAGTATAGAGTTTGAATTGACCTTTAGTTTTAGTCACGTTCGTTGGTTTGTTGCGTTCCTTTTTTCAGGGTTCACCTTATCTTGTTTAACTAATTTCCTATTGTGTTTACCTGATTCCAGTCTCTCCACTTCTTAGCCTATGACACAACAGGTAGGCCTATCTAGTCCAAAGGTCCACCAAACTTAAAAGTCTGACACACAATGCTTTAAGTTAAAAGAGCATTTAAAATTTACATTAAAATTTACAAACTATAAAAGCCGTATAAAATAAATGCGATAAAAACTTCAATAAAAATCCGTACAATGAAACAAATATATATATATATATATATATATATATACTTTTTTTTTTTTAAATGTCGCTTTAAATTTTGGAGAAATTACGCTTTATTTTTTATTCAATAACAACTGCACTTTGATGATTTGTAGGCCTAAGAACCTCTCATAACGAGCACCTCTCATTACGAGTAATTCGCATAACGAGCAAAAAAAAAATGTGAAGAAGTTGCTCCCTTAACGAGCGACATTTCGCATAACGGTAACGAATTACGCAGAAAGGGGAAGTCCCCTTTTCCCTCACTTCTACTTCAAAGAACTTTGGCCAGAGAGTGTTGTTGAATGTGATTTTGAAGCAGTACCTGTGGTCCGCCTGTGGAGTCTACAGTTAACGAGATTGTGTCATTGGTCAATATCATGGGACTCGAGGTGGACAACGGCGATATTGAAGAGCTTGTGAAAGAGCACAGTCAAGAGTTGACCACCGAAGAGCTTATGGAGTTGCATCATGTTTCACAGCAAGAAATTATGGAGGAGAGCTCATTAATGGAGGAGGAAGTAGCAGAGTAACAATCTTCTAGCACAATAAGAGAAATGCTGAAAGCATTGGGAACGGTTGCATCGTACATTGAGAAGCATCACCCTAATAAGGAGGTGGCTATTCGTGCTACAAATTTATTCAATGATAATGCTGTGACACATTTTCGTCAAACTTTGAAGCGTCGGCAAAAAAGGATTAATTATTTGTCATAAATTCATATTTTTATTTACGTTTTTTGTTTCAAATCTAAATAGTATTCCAAGTAGTTACACTCCTTAACAATTCATAAGTAATTTTATTTGAATTAATGTTAATAATTTTTTTTGAAAAATTAGTATTATTTCAGCATGGAATGCATTATCGTATTTTAAATGGGAAGCGTTATTCACACAGCTCTGTGAATAACGTTTAGCGTTATCGGCAGAACGAAATCTGTGAATAACG